TGTTATTTAAATGAAGAAAGCCAACACATTGTACCTCAAGCCTGTGGATTGTTTGGGGGAAGCGCGCAATGAGCATTGACTAGCACGTGACTTCCTAAATTTCAATAAGTAATAAAACAAAAAAATTGGATGTTGGATTTCTGAAAGAAACAAAAACAGAAACTGCTGGAGAAACTTAACAGATCTGGCAGCAATTGTGGAGAAAGAGTTGATGTTTCAAGTCTAGTGATGCTTTCAATAAGCAATGATTTTATTTACATCATTAATGATGATGATCATTCCAAATTTGCTTGTTTTCAGATACTCCTTGTCCCTCCCTAACTAACAACACCTTCAGCCCTGCAACCCACAATAATCTCTGCTTTCCTCTAGATATAAGTCCTTGCTCATCCCCCCGATTTTCATTGCTTCACCATTAGCAGCCATGCCATCAACTACATAGCTCATAAGCTCAAAAACTGCCTCTCTGCCCTTCCCTCCTCCTTTAAGACACTCATTGAAATCTACTTCCTTCAACCAGCTTTTGTTCATTTGTTCTTATACGTCCTTTATAGTTTAGTGTCAAACTTTGTGTGATAATTGCTCCTGTGAACTTGAGATGTTATTATGTCAAGTTTTTAGGTAATGCAGTTGGTAAGTGCAATATGCATGATCCCTCTCAGTATTTTAATTTGTTTCTATATACGGGAATCTGGAGTGATGTCAAATTAAGAGCAGTTTAAACTGTTGAAAAGGTAAACTTCATTTATTTTTAATTTGTGAGCCCAAAGCAGCACTCCAGCAGCATGGTGTACTTGTTGAGAATAACTTTTATAATTAAAATTTGGTCATCTCCTTGCTTCAGTCACAGTTCAGTTGGCAGCACTCTTGTCTTTAAAGTCAGATGCTCAAGCCCCAACCCAGGAGTTAAGCATCCCAATCAAGGTGGCATTTTAATGTTGCACCAAGGGAGTGCTGCACTTTAAGAGGGTACCATGTTTCATCTGAGATGCTAAGTCTCAGCTCTGGCTGGCCTTTCATGTAATCTATTAGATTTTCATGACAGTGTTTGAAGAAAAGTAGGGGAGTTTTCAAATATTATCTCATCGTTTTTGTAAGACCTTGCTGTTCTTAAACTGTTTTTCACTTTTTATAATATTTACTATTGCTTAGAGAATTTAACGTTTAAAGGGTTGTGGAAAAGGAATTTATTTCAAGTTTCATGGACGTACCTGAAGTAGTTTCTTTAAAAGAGTTCATTGGAAATTTACAGTGGACAATGGTGATATTTAAACAATCTGTCCAAGAAATCATATGGCAGATGATTACTGCTTTCCAACTGGAATTGTTTTGAATAGTGACTGGCTTGGTGAGGGTCCTGTTTAATCTGGTTCATTGGAGAAAAGCTCGCTAAGAAGTGGCTGAATTGGAGGGAAGCCAGTTAAGAAGCAGCTGAGTCAGTGAAGCCTAAAAAGAATAAACCAAGTTGGAGGAAGGCTGATGCAAGCTGCCCAGCTGATCTCCATTTCTGAAAATAAATAGGTGAAGCCTATTTGTTCTTTCGAAAGAGGAATTCAACAATACATCGCAAGATTTCCTGAACAAAATGTCTGAAAGACTTCTAAAACAACTGTGCATGATTAGTGATGTAACCACTTGTGCAAAAGGTCACAGCAACAAACTTCAGTACATCCTACACTTGATACCTTTATCTTCAAAAATAAACAGTTAGCTAGAATTTTTCAAAAAGCCAATTTCTGCAGAGAAATCTTTTTTTTTTATTTTTGTTTTAATTTTTTTTTGTTCTGCAGCGAGTGAGTTGGAGAGTGAGGTGAGGTGTGTGTACATTTTGTATTTACTTTGTTAAACTATCAAAACAGATGAGGTGGCCAGAAGAAAACTAGCCATTACTCATGCCAAGCAGCCTGATGGTGATGCTGAAAAAGTTTATGCCATTCTTGCTAAGAAGGGTTTTATAGATTGAGGTGACATGAAAGGCTATACAAGATGCCTACAAGCTTAATTTAGGTAAATGTGAGGTGATGCATTTTGGTAACACAAATCAGGGCAGGTTTTATACAGTAAATGGTAGAGTCCTGGGAAGTGTTGCCGAACAAAGAGACCTTGGGATGCAGGTTCGTCACTCCTTGAAAGTGGAGTCACAAGTAGACAAGGTAGTGAAGAAGGTATTTTGTACACTTGCCATTACTGGTCAGTGTATTTGAGTATAGGAGTTGGACTGTTATGTCGTGGCTATACAGGACAATGGTTTAGGCCACTTTTGGAATACTGCATTTAATTCTGGTCTCCCTGATACGGGAAAAATGTTGTGTAACTTGAAAGAGTTCAGAAAAGATTAACAAAGATGTTGGAGTTGGAGGGTTTGAGCTACAGGGGGAAACTGAATAGGTTGGGGCTATTTTCCATGGAGTGCCGGAGACTGAGGAGTGACCTAATAGAGGTTTTTAAAATCATGAGGGGCATAGATAGAGTGAACAGCCAAGGTCTCTTTCTCCAGGTAGGGGAGTCCAAAACTAGAGGCCATAGGTTTAAGGTGAGAAGGGAAAGATTTAACAGGGATTGGAGGCGCAACTTTTTCACGCAGAGGGTGGTGCATGAATGGAATGAGCTGCCAGAGGAAGTGGTAGAGGAAGATACAATTACAACATTTGAAAGGCATCTGGATGGGTATACGATTAGGAAGGGTTTAGATGGATATGGGCCAAATGCTGGCAAATGGGACTAGATTAATTTAGGATATCTGGTTGGCATGGATGAGTTGGACTGAGGGTCTGTTTCTGTGCTGTACAACTATATGACTCTAAGTTGTTTCCAGAGGCTTACAGGCAGAAATTTAGGAATATGCAGTAGCAGCCTGGGCAGACTTCTATGGTATTTGAGAGGGTAAAGCAAGAAAGCTATTGGATGAAGTTGTTAAATTTAGAGACTACATTTGAGCCCCCTAACAAAGTAATTCTCCAAAAAGAATGTAAAAATTCAATCCCTACATTAGTAAGAATCCTCAAAACCCATAAAAACAGAATTTTGCAACTGTAAGGTAGGCAACAAAATGGCTGACTATTATGAGCTGGTCCAAAAATCCAAGATTTTTTGTCAGCTTATAAACCTGAAAAAGATGGAAGGTGGGAAGGTGAAAGGAAGACAAGTAGCCAGGGATGAAACAGAAATGCTGGGAAGGCCACAGGACCTCATCCTCAGGCCAGAAAGATGAAGGTGGAACTGACATCCAAAGGCCTTAAGCATTTGTATTGTCACAAGGTGGGCACCTTTTTGCACATTGCTGGAAAGTGTCGGTTTTAGCGTATGCAAGATCAGTATGAAGAAAGGAGCCCTGCATGAGAGTACTGCAGACTAAGCTGTGGCTCTGACTGCAGCTGAGAGAGCAAATATAAACACTGCTCTCAGTGCAAGGAAATTAACAAGGTGCCTGGGAGTTACAGGGAATTCTTGCCCAGAAGAAATGTAACTCATTCGTGAAGTGTAGCAAGTGAACCTGTAGCTATACTTGGAGATGTAGGAGCCATTCAAGATTTTGCTGGGAAAGATATGACTTTTCCAGTAGAATAACATGAATGACAAATTTTTCATAAATGGTATTAGCATTAGCACACCTACCTTTCTATATCAGGTGCACCAAGTGTGTAACCTAATGTCTGGAATGATAACTATATTCAAGAGTTTACCCATAGAGAGTTGACTCTACTTATAAGGAGGAAATGGGCAACAGCGAAAATTGTAGCTGCTTCAGCTGTAATAAAAAGGCCAAGTGAAATCAAGAAAAAATAGCAGTTATGGGAAAAAGTTCGTGTTTGTTCTTCTTCATGAGTAACAACCCAAGCAATAGTTAGACAAAGTCCATCTTTGGAGGTTGAACCGATGTTATATATATTTTGTCACCTGAACATTTAGGGATTTAGATACTCTGAAGGTAGTGTTCACTGAGTCTTCTCTGTAAGTGACATTTCTGAATCAGTTAATATGCTGTATAACCTCGATTGTATCACTTAGAAATTGAGATTGTCAACCTTCAAAAGGACATTCAGTTGGAATTGAAACAATCCGGCACAAATTTAAGGAGTTTCATGGATACTGAAAAGTCCGCAAAGCAACTGTGGAAGTGGCTTCCTTATTTGGTTCTTTCTAGCTTTGAAAATTTGCCTCTTCCAGCTTGAAATTCCTTGAATCAAAATTTTGAACCCACCTGACTGACAAGCATCTCACTGACTTCATCACAGTTACACACTGCATCAACTGTGGACAGTGTGCACCATCAACTTTCACTCTGAAATAAGGATATTTGCCAATTTTCCTTCATTTTAAATATATTTTTGCAATTCAACAGTAATAACTGAATATGTACCCTACCAATTCATATATTCCGCATATATATTTGAGTACATTGTGATACTTTTCATTAATCAGAAATAGCTGTCATTCATGTTGGCAACCCCTGGACTAAGGAGTGAGTTCACTCCTCCAGCCCCAATCATAGCACATTTCATATTTTACAATCACGTCGAAAGCAATTCTGCACCTATTATCTGCTCCGACACATCTGAATTTGTGAATGCGATATAAATGTAAGTTTTCTCCACCCCCTCCCTTTTTTCCTTTAACAAGTTCTATTTATTTGGGTTGTTTTATTTTGGTTGTCAGTTCCATTGACAGTAAATAACTATTAAACATTTGTCACTGAACTATTTGATTACAAATTTGTAGTAATTACCTTGTATCCTGATGATCTTCATTGTGCATTAAATCATCACTGTTGCTGCTTGTTTTTAAACTCCTGTACACCATATAAATTCCTGCCATTTTTCTTGACTAGCTTTTATAATTGTTTCATCATTGTAGTTTCATTGTGCAAATTGTAAATGCTTTAAGATTTTTCACAAATTAAAAGGTTCAGATCTTTGTAAAGTTCATGCCTGTTTTTTGTTAGTCAAAATTAAAATGTAAAAGACTTGCTCATGAATCTTCCTTATATATTAAATCAACAGGATGGTCTACAAATGGTTTCTTCTCATCTACAAAATAAGTTATGCAGTGGGCATTGTGGGATATTTGGCGGTAATGTTTACAATGTTTGGCTTCAATTTATTCTTCAGGTATGGTATTTTTGGGATGCTTTATTAACTACTTAAAATGGTGCCTTTGTTCATAAATGCAAAATATAGTGATTAACGTTTACCCATGTTTCAACCAAAGGATTTATTGAAGCGTTGATTGTTTCGTGAGGTTTCTTTTGAGTGAATCAACTTCAGTTTTTCTTTCTAATCAAATTGTAGTACTCTGTACTTGTGGCAGATGCTTTTTGATGTGGTTTCTCATTCATTGTCCAGCTTTGGCGGTGCAGAAGCTATAAATTCTTAATAGAAGCAAACAAGTTGTATGTCACCAAACATATTTTCTGTAACTTAAGATTTTGGAATTATTGTATGCCCCTATAAATAGATGCAGAGTATTAGGAAACTTGCGGCTTTAGTACTTCAGCATTTATTGACTTTAAAGAAAAGCAGTCAAGGATGTTTTGTGAAAATTATAGGGCAGAGCATGGAATGGAGCAAGTGATTTTTTTTTTTGTCTTAGGTGAGTTTAAAATTCAGGTCAGGGTACATTGTTTCTGATACATTATCTAACAAGGAGCACTGTCATTTGAGCAGCAACCACTGGAGCTGAAAAGCTGATGGTTCAATTTTCTTTTTCATTGAACATAGAATAAAGACAGAAGACTCCATGGATTTTGGTGTAATTTTGCTGTTCTATGGCTTGTATTACGGGGTCATGGGAAGAGATTTTGCAGAGATTTGCTCTGACTATATGGCCTCCACAATTGGAGTAAGTAATAATTGCATAGCAAGGAAGCTATCTCTTTTTAAAACAAAATCAATTTCATATTTTGCTCCATAATAAACGTTATTGTTTTTCCATGTACAGTTCTATAATTTTGGTAGCATGCCATCCAGGAATCTCTCTGATGACATTTGCGCCGTGTGTGGTCAGAAAATATTTGTGGACATCAGTGAAGAAGGAATCTTAGAAGATACGTACCGCCTCTCATGTAGTCATGTGTATCCTTTGTCAGGTGCCATTACCAGAAATAATTTAATCAGCATTTCAGTTTAACGTTTTAGGGGAAAGAAATGTGTGGTGGCCACTAGATTAAAATGTACATGTTATAAATAGCTGCAGTACTTATTTATTTCTGGTGATTTTATTCACTATACAGTTCAACTATATTTATAGAGCATATTGGCCCATGTCCAACTTAGATACTAAGTCACTAAAGGTGCCTTTTTAATAGAGTTAGTGGTCTTCAAGTGTGATGAGTCTTTATACATAGTACAGGCAGCATAATCTAAAGAGCTCTGCACATGCGTTGTTAATTTTTATATCATAAGAATTTGGAACAGCTTGGATTTTCCGGTAACTAAAAAATAAAAGCAGGAAATTAATTTTGAAGTTACCAGGCCATCCACATGACAGCCTGGAAGCTTTTAAAGGAAACTTTAAACTCGCTGCAGTTTTAGTACATTTGGTACATTATAAGTCCAAAGGATTTACATTTTCTTTTATTAATTTCTGGAATGTGGGCATCACTGGCAAGGCCAGCATTTATTGTCCATCCTTCAGTGTTCTAGAGACAGTGGTAATGAGTTGTTGCTGGGTCAGGAATTTGAAAACCTTGACTCAATAATGATAAAAAAATGCTGATGTATCCAAGTGAAAGGGAGTGCTACCCATGACCTTCTAGGTGGTAGGACTTGCATGTTTTGAAGGTGCTGCCAAAGAATTACTGGCGAGTTATTGCAGTGCATCTTGTAGAAGGTACACACAACATAGATGGTCGACCGATTATGAAGATAGTAAATATAGTTAGATCTTAGATGATTAGAGAAATAAGGTCCAGCATTCAGAAATAAAAGTTCAGTAAAACAGACCCACACTGGCAGTTATCATAGTCTTGACCTCTGCTTTGGTAAATGGTAGAAAGACTTTGAGTCGTGCACAACTCGGACATTCCCATGGGAGGTTGCACACAAGTTGACTCCTTTAAATGATTATACCACACAACGTTTTAATGGAGCCATGCACACCAGCAAATCACAGCGCTTTTCAAAAACAAAGTGGAAAGTATGTTGATCAGAAGGTTAAATCACTCCCTACAGAATACCTGGCCTTTGACCTGCTTAAGAAGCTACTTTGTTTGCAGGCCTCTCTCCTTCAAATCTGCTGTTATCACCAATCTTCTCAACAAACCAGTCTTTGACCCTCACTGACCATGCAAACCTTTGCCCTGCCAACCTTACTTTCCACTCCAAAGTCGTTGAAAGTGGTGTTGCTTCCCAAATTCATATACATGTTTGAATCTCCCCAGTCAGGTTTGCACATTTATCACGGCACAGAAACAACTCTTACCCATGTTACCTAACATGACGCAGCTGATTACACCATTCTCCATCAGTAATCCTCCATCTTTATCTATCAACTTAGAGAATTATAGCTTATTACATTGCTGCTAAGTGTTGGTGTGACGTTCTTCAAGGGGGTATCCTTGGCCCACTCCTATTTCTCATTTACATGCTATGTTCGGTGACACAATCTGTAAACAGCACCTACTTTCATACATATACTGATAAGACTCAGCTCTACTTTACCACCACTCGATTTCTTCATTGTTCTCCAAATTTTCAGATTTATTGTCTGTTATCTAGGACCTGTTTGAACAGAAACTTACTTCAATTAAATGTTGGGAAGTTGTTGTCTTTAGTCCTCACTACAAAGTTTTATCTAACAACCTGACTGTTCTGATATCTTCCTCAAATTTAAATAGGACTGTTCACAATCTTAATGTCATACTTAATGTTGAGGAAAACTAAAACAAATTTCTATTTCAATAATATCTCCTAAGTCAATTTCTACCTCAGCTCATCATACCTTTGTGACCTCTAGGTTTGACTATTCCAATGCACTACTGTGTAGCCACCTATATTCTGCTGTTCTTGTCCTTCTAGATGGAAGTGGTTGTGGGTTTAGAAGGATCTTTGGTGAATTTCAGCAGGTGCATCTTGTAGACAGAAAATACTGCTGCTACTGAGAATTGGTAGAGGATGGAGTGGATGTTTGTGGGTGTGGTGTCAATCAAGTGGACTACTTTGTCCTGGATGATGTCAAGTTTCTTGAGTTTTGGAGCTGCAGTCATCCGGGCAAGTGGGGTATATTCCATCACCTTCCTGACTTGTAGATGGTGAGCAAGGTTTGGGGAGTCAGGTGGTGAGTTGCTTGCTGCAGTGTTCCTAGACTGTGAATAGCTCTTGTCGTCACTACATTTATGAGTTTCTGGTCAATATTAACCTCCATCATATTGATAGCTGGGATTCAGTGATGGTAACACCATTGAATGTCAAAGGGTGATGGTTCGATTGCCTCTTATTGGAGATGGTCACTGCCTGGCATTTGTGTGGTGCATATGTTGCTTGCCACTTTTCAGCCCAAGCCTGGGTATTGTCCAGCTCATGTTGAATTTGAACATGAACTGCTTCAGTATCGGAGGAGTCGCAAATGGTGCTGAACATTGTACAATCATCAGCAAACATCCCCTTTTCTGACCTTATTCAGAAGTGTTTTGAAGTTCTGAAGAAGGGCCACTGGACTCAAAGCATTAACTCTGCTTTCTTTCCACAGATGCTACCAGATCTGATGAGTTTTTCCAGCAATTTAGGTTTTTATAGAATCATAGAGTTGTACAGCATGGATACAGACCCTTGGTCCAACTCGTCCATGTCGACCAGCTATCCTAAATTAATGTAATCCCATTTGCCAGCATTTGGCCCATATCCCTTTAAATCCTCCTTAATCATACCTGTCATACATGCACTACCCTCTTTGGAAAAAAATTGTCCCTTGGGTCCCTTTTAAATCTTTCTTCTGTCACCTTATAGTACGCCCTCTAGTCTTGGACTCGACTATCCTGAGGAAAAGACCTTGGCTGTTCACCGTATCTATGCCTCCTCATGATTTTATAAACTTCTGTAAGGTCACCCCTCAGCCTCCACTCTAGGGAAAATAGCCCCCAGCCTGTTTGTTTCATATTTCCAGCATCTGCAGTTCTTTGTATTATTTTTGGGCTTTTAACATTAACATTTTTTTTTTAAATCCATATTTATTTGAATAACTGCATGTTCATTGCAGAGCTGCCATGGTGTTTTGAACTATATCACTGGATGCTACCAGAGAAGAAAGAGGCTAACTATGTTTTTATAGTCTGAATGGTGGTAGTTTTCAGTAGCAGAGAGAGAATAAATAAAGGACAATGTTCCCTGTAACCATGCAGCCACTTGGAGATTCTGCAGTCACCATGCTAACACATTGACTTCCAGTTCTGGAAGGCACTGTCCCGCATGGATTTTGGGAGGTTAAAAACACGATAACAGAGAACATAGCAAATTGCTTCACTTATTTACCTATGTCATCCGGCATGGGGACCAGACAATGCAAGTTATGTGGTCAGCAACTTAGTGGGAGTGTGGTCAATAAATCAGAGTGAGTGGTTTGTGAAGTCAATTTGGAGAAATATAACAGTAGGAATATAGGAGCTAGCTTAGGTTGAGAGAAGGGGTGGGGAAAGATTGATTTGCCATCCTTGGAAAGGACAAGGGAGGGGAGTAATAGATATAGCCAAACGTATAATCCCAATTGTAATCCAAAGATGCCCATCAATTCCTTAGTGATCATAGTTGTTGTAATGAGATACAATGATATTGTCGTGGAACTATGTATTTAAATTTGTTGTGCTATGCAAATTTGTTGGATGGCATGTTGACTGTAGGGAATTGATCGGGGAAAAGAGTACAGTTTTAGAGATACTGAATGTCATTGAACAGTGAACTTGGTAACGAATCATTAAACAATATGGTTACCCTTCATGCAGAGGTGAGAGTGAAAGGAGGGCTTTAGCAGAGAGTTGATCATGAAGTAAAGAAGGGGTGGATTATTTTAATCTTTTTGATTGCCCTCTAGTAATGGGTGAGCTCAACAAAAGGGAACAAGGCTTGAGAATTCTTGATGTTTTCAGTCAGGCCTAGAATGACTATGGTAGTTGTGCTGAATCTACCACATGTCTATACCACTTGGTCTTTTGGAAGCAAAAATGGATGTGACATGAAGGAAAACAAAATGGTTGACAAAATATCTTACAGGTATTAAAGGTGGAGTTGAAGTTTTTGAGTAGTTTTGTTGCTGCAGATGAATCATAGTGAATCAAGAACCAGAAGTAATTTTGCAACTTGGAAGTTTAATTATGAGTAACTTGGAAGTTTAATTATGAGTAACTTGGCAGTTTAATTATGAGTAACTTGGGCAGTTTTTCTGAGGCGGGTACAGAAGAAAGTGTGGTTAGAAGGAGCTGGGAGGCTGTTGCCAGTGAAGGATACACTTGCAGATGACATCTGATTAAGATAAAGGAGTAGAAAGACCACTTGAGATGTGAAGGTAAAAGTGAAAGCCATGCTGTGAATCAGAAGTGGACAGTTTCTGAAAGAAAGTTTATACTTTTCCAGTGTGCAATATCTTCGACTTGGCTGTGAGGAACTTTATCAGTGGCTGATTTGTTCTTTTGTCAATTCAAACTAACCTCTTTTATTCTGCTTCATTGAACTTGATTAGCTTAGTGTCGGTGGTGAATCTCTCCAATTTGTTATGGATTCTAAATTATTCATGTCTGCTCAGAACATTTGGAGCCTCAGTGCTAATCCCTGAGATACTTTTTTTAATTCACACACCCCACCCCTAAACTCAAATAACTAAACACTATTTACTTCAGCTAAATTCTTGTTATATCTGAATTAGATACAAACATACGAACAAGGAGCTGGAGTAGGCAATTTGGTTTCTCAAGCTTGCGTATGACATGACTGACCTGATTATAAACTCAAATCTCCTTTCCCGCCTACCCCGTGAGCCTTTCACATCATGCTCAGTGAGATTCCATCTACCTTTGCCTTAAAAATATTCAAGGGCTCTGCTTCCACCACCTTTTCAGGAAGAGAATTCGAAAGAGAGACAACCCTGT